TCAACTACTTCAATTTAATTATCTCCTATCGTCCAGGATCCAAAAATGTCAAGACTGATGCCCTCTCTTGCCTCCACTGACCTGTTTCATCCAAGGACATCCCAACTGCACCAATCTCCAAATCTCCCCTGCCAACGTCCAGCTGGAAAGCTCCTTCGTCTGTCCATTCTTCGCCATCCCTGGTTGTTTCTCTAAGGTTTGTCGACTAGTGCTGATGAAGCCCCCCCCCCCACTGCTGCAGGAGCACTGTTCCTTATAATTCCTTCCAGAATTATGGCTTCCCATTAATGTCCCGGGTCTGGTGAAACTTCTTTGTGTTTCCCTGCTCCTGGAGCGCTACTGTCCTGCCGAGTTCAGCTCCAACCCTATTCAATCACCTGAACAAGCTAATCAAGGTCTTCAGGGCTTCTTGAAAATAACTGAAAGCGTCTTGAAGCAGTGTTACAGAAATGTAGTTCTCCAAGAGAAGGTTTAGATAACCTTTGACATGCAGTAGGGTCACATGCTTTCTACCCATACAGAGAATTTACATACCATAACAAGTATACTTAATGTTGCAAAAACAAAAATTACATTCTTACTATTAGCATGGTATACCAAACAGCTTTTTTTTTTATGGGAGATCATATTAACGGGCTTATGAGACTACAACAGACAGGTTTAATTCAGGTCTTAATTAAAAACAGACCAATGGGAAAACAGCTGCGATAACTGAACAGTGACCAGTTATAAGTCAGGGACGAGAGGAAGCATTACAAAAATACACATATTTTAAATTTTATTATTATTATTATTATTATTAAATAATATGACTTAGGTGCTTCAAGAATATTATTAGTTAAGATAAATATCATATTGGGAGGTGAGTAGTACAGAAACAAATAATCTCAATATTACTATTTTTTCACAGTGCAGTTACTAATAATATTACATATTTTACCTCATGAGTTTGAGTTGGAATGCAGATGTAAATGTAACTATACAATAATACTGGCTACAGTTGTTACATTTGAAAATGCACTTACATTATGCATTTTGTATGTAACTGCAATGTGATAGTCACAAACAATCATCAGAATTGTGTTGCTCAAACATCTTGTGGCCAGCAGATGGACCCATACCAGAAGTGATGAGGACTGCTGATCAAAAGCATTTTAGATTTGATTCGATTTTGTGTGCTAAACTCACAAAAACAAATAAAGAAGTGTTCTTTTGTGAAGCTATGGCGCATACCTTGAAAATCACAAAATAATTATTATTGAACTGAATTCATTTATTGTATTACTTTATAGAATGTCATAATAGAATGTTCTATTCTAAATCGGAAATATTGAGGAAGGCGAGTTTTAAAAATATAATAGATATCTAAAATATCTAAATATGAAAGATTCCATCAGAGGCAAACAGAATAAAGAGGCAATTGATTGACAAGTGTATGCTATCACATACACAAACATAAACAGAGGCAGCAGGTGCTCCTATACTTGGGCTTTAATTACATGATCTCTGATTCATCTAATTGATATGCTAATGAGGGTGTAATTAATGCATGAGAGAGAACATCCGCGACCTCTATTAATTAATGAATAATCATCATATATGCCCTTGCATATTTAATCACACATACATTTATCAGGTTTTTGTGTGTTTGATTTAGTTTTATCAGAAATGTTTTACTTGATGGAATATAACTAATGATATTACATGATGGCAGGCATGCTTTTACATCACTGCCATAGACTGCATGCTGCTGTAGAGCTCTGGGTGATTGCTGGCCCAACAACAGACCTCAAGACAATTAGCATGTGGACTTTCCCTCCATTGCTGGGTATTGTGTGTTATCCATCTGCTGTCAGATGCTACGAGTTTAATTTGTCATTCCACCAGCAACCGTCTCAGCATAATTAAGACTTCAGTTTACGTTGATTCACCCAAATGCATCTCTCCCAGTGCATGAACTCTCATATTTCAGATATTTGACATCGTGCACTATTTATTTGTATATTTCTGTTTTGTCTATTTTGACGTGATAAGAGTGCAATTCAATACTTCCTTTTCCTGTTTTCCCCACGTTCACTACCGATATGGGAAGTTATGAAATAAAATATGTGGATGAGAAAATTAAAACAAATTAAAGTCAAAACGGTGGTAGATTTATAACAAATGATTTTTTTAAGACAGTGGTTTGGAAGCATGAGAGCATATTCTATATTCTTAACAAAAACCAGCAGAGAAGCACAAGAACTACAGATTTATGTGAAAGCGGACATGTGGCCAAAATTGGCTAATGAGGGTGTAATTAATGCATGAGAGAGAACATCCGCGACCTCTATTAATTAATGAATAATCATCATATATGCCCTTGCATATTTAATCACACATACATTTATCAGGTTTTTGTGTGTTTGATTTAGTTTTATCAGAAATGTTTTACTTGATGGAATATAACTAATGATATTACATGATGGCAGGCATGCTTTTACATCACTGCCATAGACTGCATGCTGCTGTAGAGCTCTGGGTGATTGCTGGCCCAACAACAGACCTCAAGACAATTAGCATGTGGACTTTCCCTCCATTGCTGGGTATTGTGTGTTATCCATCTGCTGTCAGATGCTACGAGTTTAATTTGTCATTCCACCAGCAACCGTCTCAGCATAATTAAGACTTCAGTTTACGTTGATTCACCCAAATGCATCTCTCCCAGTGCATGAACTCTCATATTTCAGATATTTGACATCGTGCACTATTTATTTGTATATTTCTGTTTTGTCTATTTTGACGTGATAAGAGTGCAATTCAATACTTCCTTTTCCTGTTTTCCCCACGTTCACTACCGATATGGGAAGTTACGAAATAAAATATGTGGATGAGAAAATTAAAACAAATTAAAGTCAAAACGGTGGTAGATTTATAACAAATGATTTTTTAAAAGACAGTGGTTTGGAAGCATGAGAGCATATTCTATATTCTTAACAAAAACCAGCAGAGAAGCACAAGAACTACAGATTTATGTGAAAGCGGACATGTGGCCAAAATTGACTGTGTGTGTGTGTGTGTGTGAGTGAGTGAGTGAGTGAGTGAGTGTGTGTGTGTGTGTGTGTGTGTGTGTGTGTGTGTGTGTGTGTGAGAGACATTCTGTTCTGTTTTGAGAAACACACAAGGGACTCTTTCTGTGTATCCCATCTGCCTTTGACACCCAGTTATAATGTACCTAAATAAAGGATTTGTCAAAAGTATGGCAAACGGACTTTAGTTTAAAAAACAATAATAATAGTTTAATAGCCCAGACCTTTAACCCCATTTAGCTCCCTTTGTCCACAATATTTAGCAGCTAGGTATCTCAGCAGAACGTTTTATATGCATTCATTCGCATGGTCATTTTATTTATGCAGGCTGTTGGCCGTGTCAAAGTAGTGGCCTTAGATCTAATTATTTACTGAGATTAAAATAACATATCCCTTGAGGAAAGGGCAGAATATCAGGTATGTATTTATTTAAACGGCTCTTCTAATTTACTGTTAATGAGAATGAGCAAAAAGCATTGCATGTGTGCATTCTTCACTTCAAATAAATTGATCATATTCACTGTCTGGTGACGGTTTTCATCAATACAGAGAAACATTCAGATAGAATATGTTTAGCCATTCCTGAACACACATGCATTGATTTGTGCATTGTGTTTGTTAAACAGATGTTGTTTTCATTGTAAATGTAAATTTGATGGTCAAAATAGAATTTAAATTACTTATCCTATTTACCAAAGCTTTTTCTATAATCTTCTATATAAGGGACTGTTGCATAACCCTGTTTCTGAAGCTCTCTATCACTCATTACACTTTTCGATACACTTGATAACACACCTGGTTTAATATGTCAGTAACTCTTTAGTTAACAAACTAATAATGGACAATGCACTTCTACAGCATGCATTACAGTCATTTTAGTTCATGTTAATTTCAACATTTACTAATGCATTATTAAAATCAAAAGTTGTGCTTGTTAACATTAGTTAATGCACTGTGAATTAACTGATGAACTGGAGTGGTGTGGATTATTGCTGAGACACTACATTTCTAACAAATTCATCCTAATCTTGGATGGTCTGAGGGTGAAACATTTTCAGCAATTTTTCATTTTTAGGTAAAACTATTCTTTTAACTACAACCCTGTCTTTGGTTTGTTTGGAATGACATAAAAAATGAAAAACAAACTCTTGTTTTGTTAATGAATGTCAGAAATATTTCGAAGGGATACTAACACTAATGTGAAGAGTGGAAGTGATTACTTCAGCACTGTTTTATGATCAGAATATACAAAACTACTTCATCCTTGATTTTCTCGTCCTCTTGAGCTATTGTTGACAAAGCATATGCTTTTTTTTCTAAAGAAGTTGGAAAATAAATGTTTGTAAATTTAACAACAGAACTCTTTTACATGTAAAAATCTACAGTCGCTACTTTAATATGAATGACAAAATGTTTACAGAAAAACAAATACAATTAGATAACAATAACAATAGCAAATGGTTCCTTATATTAGTACTTAACCTAAAAATATAACTTATATAGCTTTTGTCATTAAATAAGTCAATATATGAGGTAATCAGTTCATAAATCTAAATCTAAATAGACATTTTCTGTTTCTCTAAATCAAAAAAAGCCTGATATATGCTTTTAAAAACACAATTTCAGTTTAGGGATGTAGATCTATAAGCATATGGTAAACAATCTTTGACATCCCTTTTACTGGCGGTGAAAGTCTATTGACCAGTGTGTCTGTCCAGAACACATGGCCAAACATGTGTAACAGTCTTAAGTCTCATGTTGCATGATAAATTATATGTCTTTTGGCATTTTGTGGCTGGAAGAACCTTTAAGTAACACCATCCCTTTGGCAACCTCCTCACAATCAGAGGCAAGCAGTGTGCATAGAGTGGATACGTCTTAAGAAGGTTCCCAAATGTTTTTGTCTCTAATTCTCTTCATCAGAAGATTAGACAACTGTATCTTTTTCACGGAGACAACGTCGGTGTCAGTCTAGTTCAGACTGTAGAGCTTATGACTGGAAAGGCTCATCTTCTACATTGGGGGAACCACAAGGCCTGTCATTGCTGGAAACGAAGGGGAAAATAAAAGAGGTTAAATTCAATAACAGTAACGTGTAGCTTGTCACACAAGGTTGTAGATACACACGACGATGAAGATGGAGGTTCAGATTGTTTAATAATACATAGCTGACAACATAGTTATATCAAAGAGATGATTCAATAAACAGTTACTATGTTATGCCTGTATCGAGTTACTGTTGACACACACAATATTATACTTGTACATGACATTTAAAGGAAAAGTTCACCCAAAAATGTACTCATCCTCAGTTCATCCAAGATTAGGTTGAGTTTGTTTCTTCATCAGGTTTGGAGAAATGTAGCACTGCATCAGTGTCTCAGCAGTGGATGCTCTGCAGTGAATGGGTGCCGTCAGAATGAGAGTCCAAACAGCTGATAAAAACATCTTAATGCTGGATTAATTTCATCTTTTGTCTTCTCCAGATGTTCACTGATGGACTGGAGTGCTGTGGATTATTGTGATGTTTATAACAGCTGTTTGGACTCTCATTCTGACGGCACCCATTCACTGCAGAGCATCCATTGCTGAGACACTGATGCAGTGCTACATTTCTCCAAACCTGATGAAGAAACACACTCATCCTAATCTCGGATGGACCTGAGGGTGAGTAAATTATCAGCAGATTTTCCTTTAATCAGTACAGTATCCAAACAGAATCCCTGATCATTTCGGAAAGTTGAAAATAAATAATTTATGATTAGTAATTTATAAAAAACTTTGGTCACACTTTAGTTTGGGGAACCTGCTGCTTATTAATAGTTGTTAAGGGTGCATAAAAGGATGTAGAATAAGGCATTAATATGTGCTTTATAAGTACTAATAAACAGCCAATATGCTAGTAATATGCATGCTAATAAGCAACTAGTTAACAGTGAGAATTAGTCCCTAAACTAAACCCTTCTTACCAAAACTTTGGTAACACTTTATTTTAGGTTCGCTTATTAGCATGCATATTACTAGAATATTAGCCATTTATTAGTAGTAATTAAGCACATATTAATGCCTTATTCTACATCCCTAATCCTACCCAATAACCTTACTAACTATTAATACGCAGCAAATTAGGAATTTATTGAGGGAAAAGTTGTAGTTAATAGTGAATAAGTGTTCACTATTCTAAAGTGTTACCAAAACCTTTTATGGAAAACTAAAGAGCTGAGGGTCTACAGGAGCATTTTTGGAAATGTTATAAGGAAGATCTGTGAACAACAGTCGTACCTCTAAAGCTGGGGCCTCCTGAGGTTTGGCAGACAGGTGATGGAGAACCCTGTGGTCTCAGGACAGGAGCAAAGGCACTTTTTTGTTTGGTCGAGGATGGGAAAGATGTGAAGCACAAGAGGGAGGATGAGGAACTGGAGCCTGGTACAGTGGGGCTAGAGGGCATGACTGGAAAAAAGAGTGTTTTGATTGGAACAAAAGACTTCTTTGATTGTCAAAATGCATACTGTATTTTCAGCAGAAGCAACTGTGAGTAAAAGACAACAAAGCTGAAACTCACTAGCATAAGGAGAGCTGTTTGGGGAGGCACTGTTAAAGCCAGGTGACCCTGAAACACCCAGACTGCTCATGGGCACTGCCCCGTAACTCACATTCATGCCTCCACTGGATCCATAGCAGGACTGCTGAGGGGTCGATGCTGACGGGTAGCCCCGTGGGGACAAACCGCTTGGGTTGCGGGTGTAACCTTGAATAAAAACAGGAGAAATCACAATACTAACACAGCCGGACGGTCAGGGGCAGTCGTGGCCTAATGGTTAGAGAGTGAGACTTCTAACCCAAATTCAACACTAGGAAAAACATGTTTAATTAAATAGCACTAGCTATTAGTTACACAAAAAAAGTAGTTAAACTGAAGTTATATAAAGCGGGCAATTTCACTGAAAGTTTACTTTAACAATAGTATTTAAATGGCATGAAAAATGTGAGAAAAATTTATTTTAAGGAAATAAATGGGAAAAAAGCTAAATTATTCGAGATTGGAAATCATCTAAACGTTAAATCTGATATCATTTATTCATATATTTTTAATTAATTAAAGGGATGTCATAGCATAAATTCTGACTATGAATTCAGATTAATTGTATAAACCTATGTATTAATGTATTATCATTCAATAGGTTATGGTAAATAATTAAGATGTTTGATAATATCTCAGTTATTTCTAACAATTAAATAAGAACACAGCAACATAACCTCTGCTTCTATTCTGGAGGTTACAATATAAACCTTTAAAATTCAGCATAACATAAATTCAAGGATTATTATAATCCAAGGGTGACTGATCGTATTTCAACTTTGTTATTGTACTGAAGTCATTTTATTTGAGAGTATTTTTATTTTGCAAAACTTACTTACAACACCCCTCCACATTATAAAGAACCAAGTTCTTTTGCGCTTACTTGAGTAAAATGTATTATTTCTTTATTATGGTATCTGTGCTTTTATTCAAGTACTTGATTTGTTGATGCACTACTATTATTACTATTTAAAAAAAAAACATTCAACTCTTAAAACTGTTCAAATGGAATCAATCTCACAAAGGTTGGTGTTCATATGAAAAGCCAAGCATAACCATTCTAATAAATGTGTTGAGATGAGATTGTGCATCCACAGTTATCTATAACACTGAATAAGACAACAACTTCTGAATCGTAGGGTACTTGTCTGAGGGTCCTAACCTTGGCTGCTGGTTTGCCCAGGTTCTCCAATGCTTACAGTCAGCTGTGTGGGATAAGAGCTGAGGCCCATGACGCTGCCATGGACCGGGGAACTCGGCATGGCCTGCAGCTGACTGTGAGGTCGTGGCACGCTGTACAAAGCCTCGGCTATATCTGCAGCCCGTTTCAGCAACATGTCCTGCACCAACACAATATCAAAGAAACGTTTTGATGCACGGCAGGAAAAACTATTGGGTGATATGACTCATGTTAAAGGGATAGTTTACCTAAAAATGAACATCATTTCCTCACCCTCAAGTTGATAAACGAAAGAAGATATTTTGAAGAATGTTGGTAACCAAGCAGTTGACGGTAGCCATAGACTTCTATAGTATTGAAAGTCAATGGCTACCATGAACTGTTTGGTTATCAACATTCTTCCAAATATCTTCTTTTATAATCAAAAGAATAAAGAAACTCACACACGTTTAGAACAACTTGAGGGTCAGCAAATGATGACAGAATTTTCATTTTTGAGTGCACTATCCCTTTAAGTAATTAAATATATGTTGTTTGAACTGGAAACATGTAGCTATAAACTTACAAATAAGCTAATTTGTTTCATTGACCAAATTTCTTTGCTTCCACTGAAGCACAAATTATGCACTATGGAATATTTTTTTTACTTTGTTGAATAATATTCATCTGGAGATCATCAAGGAAAACTTGTGAAACTAAATTTAAAAACAAATCATGGAATTCATGTTTTCAGAAGTTGTTTAGTTCAGTTATTACCCAAACTGCGGTGCTGATAATGTCTTATGAAATGAACGAAAAAATGAATGCGTTAAATAAAAGCATCTGAGACATTTGGACTCCATTGTATGTTTAACGCATACAATATTTGCTTCCCATGCCACAGACGGTATTCTATATCTACTGCACTTCAGTGGTTACCTGATTGCTGTTGGTATTTCCATAGAGTGATTCAACAACGTCTGCTGCTCTTTTAAGTAACATTTCCTAAGACAGAGAAAATCAATGTAGTAAAAAATTTATTAACGGTTATATGCATGTAGCAGCATTTACTAACCTTTGCCAGTTTTTCGGGGTCACCAGGATGTCGAGGAATCAGCTTTTGAAGTCTCTGGAAGCCGTAGTCAATAGTTGGCTCATTCAGCGCTAGAGATAATCATAATAAGTGAGAATCCATTTGTCTTTATAACATCCCTCTACATATCCCACTGTCTGCATAAATCCCATTGTATGTAGTTCATAAAACGGAATCAGGTCAGGAAACGGAAACACTCTAGTCCTCAGTATTAATATTAGTCTTGTGTACACAAATTGTTAAAGATGAAGTATGTCTTCTTCACTAGTGGCACCAAACAGAATTTGAAATATGTGTCCCTGCAGCACAAAAGCAGTGTTGAGTCGCTGGGGGATATTTGTAGCAATAGCCAACAATACATTGTATGGGTCACAATTATACATTTCTCTTTTATGCCAAAAATCATTAGGATATTAAGTAAAGATCATGTTCCATGAAGATATTTAGTAAATCTCCTACCGTAAATATATCAAAACTTAATGTTTGATTAGTAATATGCATTGCTAAGAACTTCATTTGAACAACTTTAAAGATGATTTTCTCAATATTTTGATTTTTTTGCACCCTCAGATTCCAGATTTTCAAATAGTTGCATCTCGGGTAAATATTGTTCTCTCCTAACAAACCATACATCAATGGAAAGCTTATTTATTCAGCTTTCATATGATGCATAAATCTCAATTTCGAAAAATTGACCCTTATGACTGGTTTTGTGCTCCAGGGTTTCCAAAAAGTTCTTCCAAACTCTCTACCATTTTGCATTGTTCAGCCAAACTCCAAACTTCTATCGGATGAGCCAGAAGATGACAAACATTGCAATGTTTGGTGTTCTGAAAGCGGCAAAGAGCCACAATTCTTCCACTCTTGAAGAAGTCAGTCTACAAACTGAACATGGGACATTAAACATGGAGAGGAACTAGTTTAATAATACACACTTTGTCTGGGTTTGTGTTCACCTGTATAAATGAAGCGGCCCAGAGCTCCTTTACAGAACTGCTTAGATTTGTAAGACAGTGTGACTTCTACAATCCCTGGAATGTGTCGAGGAGGAGTTTGAACTCGGATTGCATGAGGAGTGATTAACTGCAGGAATAACAACAAGCTCTGAAGGTTAATTGTTATAGACTGTTGGTACTCAAACTTAAAATATTACAAAAGCTTTCCTTATTGCAAGTCAAAGCTTGCTTCGATATACTCTACCAATGCATACCTCGCTCCACACTAGCATGCTCCCGAACACCACCTGCAGACCGTCGAAGAAGTTTTCCCCGATCACAATCACCATAGCCCCGCCTGTAGTCCAGCCTTCACTGGGGCTGATGGCTTTGATACAGGGAGTAGCTGTAGTGGAGAAATGACAAAAATGAAAATGGCATTAAAGATGCACGAAATTATTACTCGGGGTCTAAGAAGCATCCCTCAGTGACCACAGAGCTATTCTACTCTTTCAAGAGAACAAGCTCATTTTCCAGCTTCATGGTTAAAACCTTCCTCCCCTTGTATATAATTGTGGATTAATGCAAACCTCTTCTTTTTTTAATGTCATTTCAATGCCATTACTTGTGAATCTCACCATATTCCATGCAAGTCTCCACCGTCTCGTTCGAATCCGTTCTACGAGAGCGGCGTCCGTGTTTGGAGTTGTTGTGCACAAACATGTTGTCAGAAATGGCTAGGACGGGACCGTCCACACTGACTGTAGTGGACAGAACCACCTATTGGAATGCAAAGAAAGATTTATTGATAACAAAAAGAGTTTGAAGGAGGAGATTCACATAGTGCTTTAAAAACTCCTTAAACGATATCCTTGCAGTGTCATCTTTAGAAACTTCTACTGCTGCTGATTTAAAATTCACAGTTTTATAGCTCTGGTTGAATCAATTGTGAGCCTGGAGCACAAAAGCAGTGTTAAGTCGCTGGGGGATATTTGTAGCAATAGCCAACAATACATTGTATGGGTCACAATTATACATTTCTCTTTTATGCCAAAAATCATTAGGATATTAAGTAAAGATCATG